TAAGTGTCTATTTAAACAGGCCAAATCCATTGCAATTGTAACGTGAATTTAATGCTTAACTAGCCCTGAAAATTGTGTATTGCGATTATAAATTCATAATAAGACTCTATATGGTCAGTGAACAGATTGTACCGTCCAGCTGATGATGGGTTTTTAATGTGTGTTTTAATGGTTCGTTGAGTGCCGTTGGAAAACTGTCAACCATGCAATGAGTGGTACTCTGTAACTAAGTAGTAATTGAAATTTCCATCAGGTTTTGTCCATTGCTCCATTCCTGCATTGCCACATTGCATGTCGCATGTCATCTGCTCGTAATACCATTACAGAACCATATGTCTTTGGTGTGAGGTTCTGTCGGTCGCCGTCAGGTTTATTGATTCAATTTTAACAGTTTAGGGGTTGGGACTAATATACAATTATGGGGGGTTTTGAGCCCAAGGCCGTTGTCGTAAAACTTACAAATAAATGGTAAAGGCAAAGGAATGCGAGCGAATTAGCACGCAACTTGGAATTTATAGAGTTAAATCGGGATAACAATGTGACACTTTAAAAAATTAAGAAGCTTAAACTGCTACAAAATGTTAAGTATAATTGAAAGTTTTCCTAATTGAAGTTTTTAAGTAATGACTGGAAATGGGTGTATTATCTGATGTGTTTTTTGGAATCCTAAAACCAGTTGTTTTACACCTTAAAATGGTAATTGAATGGTGTTTAAAACTCTTCAGATACTTGTTCAGCTGTTAAACAATATTCTCTGATCGTAAATTAGCAAATTTTTGGGACAACAGTGGGTTTCACTCTAATTTTTTGTGTATATAAACACAGAAGAAAGATACGAAAACGAGAAACCAAGATAAAATAAAATCAAAATCCAGTTCAAATCAATTCGAGGGTTCAAATCCCACAAAAGCCAGGGGCAGTAGAGCAAATATTTTATTTTATTTACGATCGAAACCAAGTTGACAGCGAAACTGGAAATGAATGGCAGAGATGGTAGAGATTCATCGTTCGATCGATCGAATAGCGATTGCAATGCAATTTAATGCGAATTGAAATTGGTCAAAAGAAAAACCCACACTGGGAAAATAGGTTAAGTTATCACAATGATTCGCGTGCTGTTCTCAGGGAATTTCAATTCAATTGATTTGCCTCTTGTTACCGAGCGCAAATTCTGACTTCTCCCCATATTCAGAGAGCAATAAATTAGTACGAGAAATAATGTGAAACCCGGGCAAAGCAAAAACAAAAGCGAAGGTGGCTTTGATGACGAAGGCATTCAGCTTGATACTGGATTCTAGACTTTATATTCTTTATATGTACATATGTACATATGTGTGTATTTTTTATTCAGCATTTTCTGCTGTCGCTACCCTCTGAAGAAGTAATTTTCGCTGACTGCTTATTTTAATGATTGGAGTCAGTCAGTCAGTCGGCCATTCGGTCAGCAGATTTTGTTTTCCATTAAACGTCCGAGGGGCCAGAAATAGAGATTTTGGATTCTGAGTCAGTGGAATCATCAAACAGAAACAAAAGCGAGGCCGAGTAAAAAAATTAGACACGCAGAGAATTGTGAATTGGTTATGGAATTTCTAAATGCAACAAGTCGACGGCGAAAATGGGTTCCCTATGGAGAGTCGTATGAAACTAATTTAAAAGTTAACTGTGGCCTCTTTAATAACAACAGCTATGGATCAACGAGGAAATGGGCATGCGATAAAGATGACGATATATATACATTAATATATAATGCGTGGCGCAAAAACCATTTTCTTAAAATCTCTTCACCGAGTTGGCAGCAAAGACCAGTGGCATGGGGAGAAAGAACAACTTTCGTGGCACATTTGTGGCACATTTGTGGCACTGGACGCCGTCTCCACAAACAATTAGTGTGAACAGATTGTCGCGGAAGTGCGAATGGGATTCGCTGTATAATAGCGGAATGCTGATAATTGCCCACGTTGTCAAAGTGGAAAAAAAAAACAGAAAAAAAATTATATAAATGCAAAATTAGAGCATCATAAAAAAGATGACGGAGAAAAAAAAACGGAAATTACGCTAAATCCAGCTGAGCTTTAAAAAAAAAAAAAGAGCGATAACGCCGCGAAAATTATGTATATTTGCTGGCTTAAAAAAAAAATTGGTTATCCAATATAACAATATAACCTCAAGGCAGTATGTATGATTTATAACATTGCACTCATAATCAATAAAAGATTATATATCCACATCAAAAGTCTCCTAGTACTAATCATACTTATTTTAGGGTACTGTACCTATAGTTTATAAAACCTGTTTGATCATACTTATAACAGAACACATGGGATCGATCTAAAAATCGGCCATGGTGTGTATTTGAGTTATCAATTGTGAGCCACCTACCTCTTTGACCTTCTGACGCCGCTCCTCCAGTGTGGTGTCCAGTCTATCCGGCGCTTGATCATTGCCGCCGCCTCCCAATGGCAGTTGTAGTTGTGGCTGGTTGTGCTGGCCGGAACTTTGTGTATGGGATGAGGGCTGACTGGCGGCATTGTCTCCCTGAACTGGAGCGGCCAGAACGGGGATGGCGGCGTGCCCCTCATCCTGGTCCATCGGCTGATCCGCCAGAGCGGCGACGGGAGCTGGTGCCTGAGCCTGTTGGGCGAGCACCTGGAATTGTCCGCCCTCTCTGCCGCCTGCAGCCGGTGGCTCATCGAGCATGTCGCCGAGTTCGGCGCGGATCTTTCGCTCCAAACGCTGGCGATCCCCAATGAAATGCGGATCCTCGCTGCGATGGGAGGCGTGTGCAGCAAGGGGCGGGGCTGGGATGAAGATCTCCGGACCGGCCTTTCGGAAGTGCTTGTAGACGCGCAGGACACGATCGCTGCCGAAGTTGTCCGGCAGCAGGAAGATGCCCGCGAAGCAGAGGAAGCACAGCGTTACCAGGACGAGTCCAATCAGACATTTCTCGCGCGAGTGGAAGTTTGATTTGCGTCCAATTGGACTGATGCGATACATGGTAGAATTTGTATTTGCTTCAATTCGATTTAAGTAATTGTTTGGGTTATTAATGTTGTTCCACTGTAGTCTTCTCGGGCATTGGCGGTAGACTTTTTAATTTATGTTATGTTTATGGATTTCCTGTCAAGTTTCACTGATTTAGCGAAAAGGTTTTAGATTGTTTATGAATAATAGGGAAATAATTGTTGTCTCTCATTAATTTGTACTTTTATAGCAGGAGTAATTTTATTTGTTTGTTTATCTCGTGAACTTTCTTTTTTTTACACTCAGCTGTTTAACTTTCTTGCCGAATCTCTCACTCTCTTTCTCTCTGTTTCTCACTCTCTACTCTCTATGGCAGTGCATTCTTATTGTTATTATTGGCTATTTTTGGATGTTTGTACATTCACTCAAACGTTAATGCGCCAAAAAAAGGAGCACGAAATAAAAACGAAATGCCGGAAAGAAAACACAGACATGAACTGCCAGCAAAAACAAAGGTAATTCGATGCGATGTCGCTGCGTGGAAAAAAAGAAGAGCGGCAACACACACACACACACACAAGCAACGTGGCAAACACACAGACACGAGTTTATGCGGGGCTTTGCAAAAATCGTGATTTTGCATGGCATTTGGCATTTACACCGAGGTATCTTATTGGCACAATTTGGAACACCTAAAACATAACTATACTCAATTATGAGTATATCCAGCAAAAGCTACACAAACACTATACCCTGTCTAAGCTCAAATAAAATGCAATATTTTCACTAAGAATTTTAACGACAAAATGCAAAATCCAAAACATTTCACCTTTAAATTTATTTTTTTGTACAATACAACTTTTTAATGCCAAGCCTACACTCATGAATATGAAATATATGATCTTTGTTGCAAACTCCTAAAATTAACATAGGTCTCTATGTTAATGACGGTTTTTGCAAACAAATCCAACAGCAATGAAATAGTTTAATGACTAAAGGCACTGCCTTTGAAATTAGCAATGGTATATATTCACAAGCCCATTTCAACACTTCGATTCGCAATTTATGCGGTGTATTTGCGTACTTTATCTTCGCTGAGATCTAGAATAAATCACGAGCTTGCGGACCTGCATAAACTGCAGGCCAGACAGGGATGGGGCGAGATAGGATGATGAGTGAGAGAGGTCGGAGAGAAACACGCAATATTTTGCAACAACACAACGGGCGGACAACAATAACATTTATTACGGAATACCGTTAGCTGGCTAAACAGCCGTATGAAAAAGGCACAGAAACAAACAATAAAAAAATGAAAATCAAAAGAGCAGTGGCGAAAAGAGAACACAGAGACACAGCTGATGGGGAGAGTGGGAAAAAGGAGGTGACGAAAGAGAGAGGAAACAGAAAAAGGGATGAATCTTTAGATTTGGATTTGATTTTTCTGCCTTCTCTTCGTTCTCCTTTCCACCGCTGGCATCCATCTCGGTGTCTCCATCTCGCTTGCACCTTAGCCGCTTCTTTCAGTTGTTTTTGTTGTTACTTTCCGTTCCTCGCAGGAGGTGTGTTTGTGCGAGCGAGAAGAGAATACGCGTTTCACCTGCCACCTTACGATTTTCCGCAAGCCGACCATCGATTCACGGCAAAGTTACGAGAGGAACGAAGCGCCTTCCACAATCGCGTTTAATTCCGATGGATTTACGTTTCTTTTTTTATTTGAGTTCGAGACGACCAAAAACAGCTTGGATCCGATCCACAGTGTGCCCGCCGCTTATTTTGCCCGAAATGCCGAAGTGACCATTGGTCACACTAAAAGGCAGTGCTACCAGATCGCCGAACCGGCATTTTACACTTTTTCGCAGCTTCCATCGCTACAACGAAATTTCTTAAAAATGGGTACGAATTTGTTCAATAAGTCATATCAACTGTAGTGCATTTTTGAAAGGAATTTTACTGTTAATAGTTGGCGAAAACAAAACAATACTTATTTGTATGCGGCGCTGATAGTGTCCATGTCTCATCACTGGCGAACATTTATCAAATAAAAACTATCGATAGGCCTCGCACAACAAAAATAACTCAAAATGCAACCACTAAGTTTCTACCACAATGCAATTAAATACAATTGTGAAATTGCTATTCATTTCAAATATAAGGGGAATTTCTGTCCGAAGAGGTGACCCCAGTTGCTTCCCTTGCACATTGAGAAGATAAACCCCAAGAGCCATGTCTACATTTGGCGCTGAAGTGGATCAGGTTTGGCCAGCGGTCACCGGGGATTCCCGGCCTCTGACGGATTTTGGACGCAAATTGCTGAAGGATTGCCGGCAGGTGAAGAAACCGGTCGGCGGAGACAATAACTTGGGCCATGTGATGAAGAACTCCGAGGACTTTCCGCTGGAGGTATTGAAGTTTTCCTTTTTGGTAACACCAATCAACTTGGACTTACTACTACTTTTCTCCTGTAGTTCGGCGTGAACAGTGTCAAAGTGTGTCGGCAATCTCCCTTGCGGATTAGCCGGATGAACGAGGAGGTGGCGTCGGCCTATCCAGTGATACATGAACGGACATTGAGCCTCTACCTGCAATACTTGGAACACAAGTGTCGCTGGGGTAAGCAGCTCTCGCGCTTAATTCGCACTCTCAACTGATCGACTACCCATTCGAGCACAGGCAATGCGGTGGAAAAGCCCATCTACCGGAATTTATCGCTCTGCGGACTTGTGCATCGCCTGCTGGAAAAGCGCTGCGCCAGCTTCTTTGCACGGAACGACAAGTTTCTGCTGCTGAGCGGAGAGACCGGGGCCAGTGGCTTCGAAGCTGTGGGTACTCGGGAGGAGAAGGCGCCCCTGGTGCTGGCCGACGTGCTCAGCTACGACGATATCAAGCTCTCCGCGCTGCTTTCCGTGAGCTCCCACACGGAGTTTGTCAACGAGGGCGAGCGAACCAACTGCGGTCGCGTTGATCTGGACACCAAAACTTTGGAGCGCACCGGGGTTATAGTGGGCATGATTGGAGCCCGTCTGTCGCGGCGTAATCTAATGGAGTTTCAGGACATAGTCATCGCACGTCAGCAGAATACGCGCGAAAGGGGATACGGAATGGCGTTGGATGAGCCGGCTGAAACGCGGGAAGAGGACTATCGACGATTGTGGCGCGAGTTCTATGACACGAGGGATCTCATCCACGGCCAGGCAGTCATCGACAATCAGCGGTTTGGACCATCAAGAAACAAGCAAGACGTCTTCGATAATCTGGTGATGAAGCGGCGCTACGCCATCAGCTTCGACATGCTGCTGCTGGAGGCACAGGCACGAGCTGAACGCGTGGAAAAGCTGGCGTACATCCATGTGGTGGGCTTCGGTTTGGGCGTGTGGAAGGCAGCAGCGCAGCAGGAGCGCATCTTCATGGAGACCTTTGAGCAGCGCATGCGCACGCTGGGCAACAGGCTCAATCACGTGGGCCTCGTGCATTTCTCCTGGTTTTCGATCACCGACTGCGGCGGTCTACGCAACGGATCGCTGGTAGAGATTCCCGGTCATCCTAAGGACGGCATCAGGATTCTCATATCCAAGCGCAATCCAGCACGAAAGCTAACTGATCCTGAGCACGTCGGAATGCTGCTGGTGGTCTCCTACGCTTGGGATGGAAACGCTCTGCCGGGTAACGAATTCTGGATGGTAAGTATTTTGGAATTCCCTAGCCACAAATGTAGATATTAGGTGGTCATGCTAGCTATAGCTTAGTTATATTTATGCTTCTGCGGTTGGACTTCTATGTGCTTTAGTTTTCTGCCAATGCCCTTTATATTAAATAATAACACTATCTTTTTAATGAGGGCATGCATTATCAGCTTAGTCAGTGGTTATATTCGTGTTAAGTGCAATTAGCATGATAGTTCAATTCAATTCAGGAAAAGTGACTTGACATTTTAGTAATTGTAGTCCTTACCTTGATCTAAACACTTCCTCCTTTCCAATCCCATATACGTAGTACATAATAACAACCTTCATTCGTTTTAGAAAATGCTGAAGTCCACAGGGGACTCCTCGACGGCCTGCTCCACGTTGGTGGCCGAGCTGCACAATCCGTACATCAACACGAAATTCTGCAATGGGAGCAACCTGCACATCGCTTCTCCGGAGCACGGGGTGCTCCACATAGCCGAATATGCCAAGCGGGTGATTCGGAGCGAGAGTGACGGCTAATGAGATACGTGAATCTGTCCGCTATCTAATCTTATCTAATCGCTTACTCGTAGCTACTGTTTTATTCCACATTTGCTGTAGGTCAATTCCATGACCTTTTCACGCAAGCATGACGATTCCACGGGAAAAAAAGGATTTTATATTGCAATAGTTAAGCTCACAAAGAACAAACCTCTTAAATCAATTGTAAAAAGCCATGAAAATGCCTTGAAAACGTTGAGCTTTTGAAAAAGTATGTAATAGAACTCAGAAGTTTGGTTAAACCATCTTTATGTTTGTAAGAAGTGTAAATACATGTGTATAAATGCAGAGCAGTTCCTTGTGCCATATGCGATCCGGTAATTACAGCGTGTAGCCCAGCTTGGAGACCCAACCCAAACCCTCGACAGTGGTCGTCTTGGGCTTGTACTCGCAGCCCACCCATCCGTCATAGCCGAAGTCCTGGAGAGCCTTGAACACAAAGCCGTAGTCCAGCTCGCCTGAAACGTCCGGCTCGTGGCGATGCGGCACCTGGGCGATCTGGAAGTGACCGATGAGGGCCTTGTACTCCTCGAGCGTCTTGGACACGTTGCCGTGCAAATGCTGCAGGTGGAAGAGATCGGCCAGCAGTTGGATGTTGTCCGCAGCCACATCGGCCAGTATACCGGCGGCCTTGGAGTACGAGTTCATGTAGTAGCCGGGCACGGCGTACTTGTTAATTGGCTCTATCACGCCGATCATTTTGCTGGCTCTGAGGCTATCGGCGGCGATCTTCAGATTGGAGGTGTACGTCTTTGTGTAGTCGCTCTCCTGGCCGCCCTTGAAGAGTCCGGCGGTGAGATGGATCTTGCCGCAGTTTACCTGGCGGGCAAAGTCAATGGTGGCGTCCAACTGGCTACGGAACAACTTCTCCGAGCCGGGCACACTGGTGGAGCCGAAGCGCAGCTGATCGTCGCTCTTGTCGAAGGCCAGATTCACCAGACTGACCACCACTCCCGTCTCCTTCACGGCGGACACCACGTCACTCGTCTCGCCCTCGGGATAGGGTATCTCTACCGCTCGGAATCCGTTCTGGTGGGCCAGACGAATCCGCTCCGCGATCGTCGTCGCCCTCTCCGTGAACAAAAAGTTCAGGTTCGCTGCAAACTTGAGTGCCATCTTCCGGGCTGGTCTTTCCGTTCACTAATCTCCGCCTGCGTTCACGCTTGGTAAACAACTGGGGCCACGATGCGATTGCCCGTTTTTTATATTATATCTACCGACTTTTGATACTGCCAATGTCATATGGCTAGAGCTTTTTCGACCAGCTTGTCAAAGCTTGCTTGACTTACATACTGTATGCTTTTTTGGATTTTTAGCTTGCTCCAGAACCACTGACTGGCATTAGTATTTAAGTTAATTTGGTTTAAATAAATACTAGTTTTTAACTAGCATTTAAAATAGAACATCAAAATAATAAACGTTTGTGAAAAGCATATACTCCACCTGGCGGACGACAGGCGAATCAATTGGCAAATAGAACATCAAAATAATAAACGTTTGTGAATGGCATTGACTCCACCTGGCGGACGACAGGCGAACCCTGAATTAAAACGCAAGTTTCGGTTACAAAATTTGAATTTATAATTTCCAAACAAAGAAAAACAAAACCACTGACGCTTCAAAAATTGAATTTAGCATAACGACGGCAAAACTGATAATTTTTAAATGCATACATATGCCTACAAATGTTTAGCGGCTTCTCCCATTTGGGTGCCACTGGCTGCGTCCAGCACAGTGGTTTGCACAGCAACGTCCACATCATTGTCCTCGTCGGTGTTTTTAATGAGCAGCTGGAGGCGACAGTGGAGGGACACCTCGGTAAGGAGCTGCTCGTGGGTGAGTTCGCAGGACGCCAGGACTTGGGCTAGTTCTTTTGAGAGTCCAATCGGAATACCATCATCTTGGATGCCTGGCATTGAGGCTGGCCTGGAACAGAACACCGACGACTTGAAGATCTCCTTCTGTTTGTCCTGGCCATCATTGACCTGGTCATTCGTACCCAGGTTATTCGTACCCTGGTCATTCGTATGCTGGTCATTCGCACCCTGGTCATTCTTATCCTGGTCATTCTTATCCTGGTCATTCGCACCCTGGTCATTCTTATCCTGGTCATTCGCACCCTGGTCATTCCAACCCTGGTCATTCGTACCCTGGCCATTCGCATCCTGGTCATTCTTATCCTGGTCATTCGAATCCTGGTCATTCGCACCCTGGTCATTCCAACCCTGGTCATTCGCACCCTGGTCATTCGCATCCTGGTCATTCGAATCCTGGCTATTATGGCGCATGTGATCCGCTTCAGTGTTCCTAGAGAGCTTAGCAAATAGTTCTTCCGCCCGGGCAGTCATCCTTATGGTTTTCGTTTCCATCGCCTTCTGTCGGATCCCTTGCTTGACAGGATTCCTCTTACTGAGGGGCTCCCGTTCCCAGTTGGCAGTCCCCTGTTGGGACTGCTTCATTCGATTGCTGCCACCCTCGGGCTTTCCATTCGTCTCCATGCGAAGTACGCGCTCATTGCAGGTTCGCCCAGATGAGTCTGGTCTTTCTGGGGGGCTTGGAACCTTGTTGCGGCCAGATATTCCGGTGGGCTTGATGCTCATGGCTGGCGCCACGGGACGTGGAGTGTCGATGGCTATGCCAGTTAGATCCAGTTGAGGGATCTTTACATACGTGACATTCCGTGCGGTTGCCGACAGTTTGGTTCTCGTGGTGCTATTCATGAGCGGCATTTCTAAATTCTTTCGGATTGGAGACTTAGTAGGTCTGCGATGGAGCTCTGGTTGATTGGCTGGAGGTAATCCTGCGGTGCTACTTCGGGCCGACTGCCTTGGCTTTCGAGCATCACCAGCTTTGCCAGGAAGATCTAGCGGAGTGACCACATTCACATCGCTCGCTTTGTTCACGTTGGCTTGTTGCGTTCCTTTTTTGGGAATTTTGGCAATTTTGGGAACACGGACACCATCTCGTTTCTCCGTTGGCATCTGCGACTCCCTTTTCAATGGCGGCGCCTCAGGGTAATCTTCAAATGCAGTCTTGCCTTGATCACGTCTCGGCGATATCTTCACGATCTCTATGCCACGACGACTTTTGGTGGCCGAGACCGGTGTGCTCGATCGTGAGGATCCCATGCCAATGTCCTGGTAATCACGAGCTACCAGTACATCGTAGTCCGAGCACTTTTCCTTGTTGTAATTGGCCATGAAAAAGTGGCGAAACCACACGGCAAACTCAAAATTCTCTACACAACGGCCATGGATCACTTTATTCACCTGCACGGGTGGGATCACTTTGACCTTGTTGAAGGCCTTCTGAAGTTCCTTAAAGTTGGCAACGAACTCGTATTGCTGATTCGGAAAGAACTTCACGCGCTTCAAATTGATCAGCTTGGGAAAGAGCATATGCATCAGATTACAGTAGGCTGCTCCGGTGCACAAATGCTCGATATTGGTCAGGCTGCATTTGAGCGTCTCGTTGAACCAATCGAGGATTTCGGCACGGGACCACTGAACCAGCGAATTGTGGGTGACGGTCACATTTTGGGCCCTCAAAGGGGGCATCGTTAATCCGATCGGGCAGTATGTATGTAAAAGCTAGTTAATAAATTGGCGATTACCTCCCTGGACATTCGTCAATAACTTACCGAAAGGAATGGTAGTAGGTAACAAAATTCAAGTTATCTCGTGGATTGGCTGTTGTACAGTTCCTTGCTAGAAACGTAAAAGTTCACTTTTAGAAACAGGTCAAATTCCATGCGGCCCGCCTAAGCGTACAAATGCATAAAAATTCGCTTTAGTTGACTTACCAAAATATTTTTCTCGAACGAACAAGTCTAGTTTGGCAAATTGAAAGTATAACTCGTTGTACGAAATTGTATATATAAGTTGCTTAACAAACTGGTGAAAATACTACGTCTGTTTTGTGTTATGCTCACAGAATGCTTACATTGAACTGAGGTTTCGTGGGAATGAGACACAAATGAAATTGTATTTCAGCGACTACTTGATTTGGTAATGTTTCATGGCCTGCCCATCACTTTTGTCCACCTAAATCCATTGCCCATGTTTATATATTCAAGTGAAGCCTCTGAGTCTTTGACTTCTTCAGATTCGTTTACGTGCTACGTCTTTCTACATGCGTTTACATTGCTCTACGTTCTTCTACCAGTTTCTACTTCTTTTGTACATTCTTCTACATTCTTTCAGTACTTTCTACGTCCCGCAAGTTCGTTCCACGTTTCCCTTTAAGTTTTCTATGTCCATTTACCATTTACTAACTAAATTGAAATCAGTAATGAATAATTAATAAAATCTTTTAGTGCCACCAGCAAATTATTGGCTATTAGTCTACAATTTGAGAAAAAACGGACATTCAAAACTGGCTGGCAATCCAATAACGATTCAATATGCACATATGCATTTGCCAAAAAGCTGAACAAGGATTAGGGAAATTGAATTGGTATGTCAACCAGACGGATTCGGATGACCCCATGTGGGCCATTAAATACTGGCCTTTCTGGAACACATACAACAAAAAAGAGGAAAAAGAGCAATCTAAAATAGACATGTCACTGCCATCGTGTGGCACTGTTTTAGGCGAAATAATAGTGCAAATAAATTCCACAAATATCCTATTGTTTTGGCTTGACAACACATTTTCGTTTCTATTTGTAATTCGAATTCTGCTCCCGGAAATGCGCCACTCGCACCAAATGCATTTCCCAAACGGCTACGCACCATCGACAAAGGCAATTAAATTTGTAAAATAACGCAACGAGTGGAAAGTGCAATGTGCAATGTGCAATGTGCAACCTGTGTGACCTCATTGATTAGCCAGCTGCTGTTGTTTCTGCAGTTGGTCTTTATATTTAAAATTGATGGCATTCAGCACAGAAATTGGATTCGATAGCACCAAATGGCTTGCACATTTGCAGCAGATGACTTAAGTTAGTGGAAAGCTAACAATTAAAAAGGAAATCGTGTACTCACATAAATGCCATAAATCAAATGTGTGCTATCGATTTTAGTCACTGAGTTGAATCAATTAGTAAGTTATGTGATAATGCATTACATACGAAAAGGTACACCACGGCTACTAGCTTTCCAAACTGATTATTATTGTGCTCCAGAAGAGGCATTCAAGTAAAGCAATTTTAAAATTGTCTCAGGAATGCATAAACTTGTGGAAAGTGCAGGCATTATAATTAACATTGTGGCTGCTGCCACAGGAATCTTCAACGGTTCATAACTTTTCAAAGAGGTGTTCAAAAGTATGCTACACATAATTTGACATCATCGTTTGGCCTTTGCCCTGGGCACTGGCGAATCCCAATGTAAATTAGTGCATACCTTGGGGCACTTCTTCTACGCAGATTTGAAATCTGTTGTTGATTTCATTTTAATTTCGGCCAGCCAACGACTTGTTTGCTTATTTGTATATCAAGTACATACAAGCGAAATTGGGTCAACGTCATTTTAAATTCGTGAGCGGACCATCCGAATTAATTAAAGAGTCTCAGCCTGTATTGAACAAAAGAATTGACTTTTGTTTGTCTTTCGTCTTGCACCATAAATAACGAAATTCCTTTTCAAATTTCCAGCTGGCAAAGCGAAGAGAGCGCCGCCATAACTTACCCTCTCGTTGGCCATTCTCTCTTTGGGTGGGAAATTGTGGCAGAAGCGTGGGCACATTATGGGAAATTTGTGGGAACATCTTCGCCTGGCCGGCGGTCTATAAAAGCGCACTGCCAGCGCCGTGCGCGTTACAAAGGCAGGCGGACCGCCGACGCGAGTGTGCTGAGCGGCAGGACATAGCGGCTGAAAAGGACGAGCGCTCAAAAGGACGAAACGACGTAAAGTGTTGATTGCGTTGCCAATTTTGCATTCACTTCCGACCACGGACGCCGCGATCCTGTTCAATTTTCTTTTGTTTTTGGTTCTTTTTTTGCCTTTTTTTTGTGTGTGTGTGTGTGGTGTGGCATCCTTGTTTTGGCAGACTTACACAGAAATACAAAAGTGATAAAGTGCGCTACACTGAGTGGAACCAGCGCACCAGCCTCAGTGGAACTCAAGCCGGAGTCGCCGGAAAACCCATACATCCAATACCAATACCAATACCATCCCTACCATGTCCGCACAATTCATTTCGCGCGTCCATAGTTTTTCCTGCCGTCCGTGGTGGGAACACTGTTCAAAAAGTTTGGCCCCTTATGTGCTCGCACAAGTGTTTAACGGAATTCCTCATAAAGGCCAAGTGCGATAATCGAGCAATTGCGATCTGTATTCTGTGTTTTAGTAAAGTATTTATAGAAGACTGTAGAATATGCAGATATCTCAATTCGATTTCAGTTCTCCGTTGAATATTGAACAATTTTATTGTAATAGTGATAACAATTAGATGATAATAGTCTATAGAAGAGCCTCGCACGCGTCATTTTAGTTACAAACAGCAGCTAAACAGGTGATATCTGGATTTTAAATTGGAAATTGAAAAATTGCCACTGTGTTGATTTCTAATCACCGGACAACATTAGAGGCGAACTGTATTTTCCTGCGAGTATCCAAATTGTTTTCTCTGCAGAGCGAATCGTGCTTGGCCATTTAATTGTGGTCTCTGGTGACCAGCGGGGATTCGGAATGGGATGCGGCATGGGGCAGGGGGCATTGTGGAGGTAGAATGGTGCTTTCTTCGATTCAATTCGATTTGTCGTAATGAAGCTAGTCCACGGAGTCCCATGCAATAGTTAACATATTTTTATTGCCTGTTGTCGCCAAAGTGTCCCCCATCCGGATACGCCGGATCCGCCAGATCCGCCTCCGTTTGCCCATCCCCAAGCAGTCATCCATGCCGATGCCCATGCCCATGCCCATGCCCATGTCCGTGCCCATGCCCCCACCACCATCTATGTACGTACATATAACCATCTATATCACAGCTCCCTCGGCAGTTTCGGTTTCAAGTGCCATTGGAGCTGAAGCTCCTCCGGATTGCTCACTTGATGGGTTGGCCGATTCAATGTTTGCGCTTTTGCGTGGCCAACAAGTGCGGATGGGTGTGGGTAGTGGGTATTGGTATTGGGATTGAGAGTGAAGGGGAGGTCAAGAGCTGGTCATTTGGGAACCGGGTTTAGGGTTCTTTCGAGTGGTTACCACATCCCCCAAAGTTGCTTACATCATTTCGGGGGAGCCTTTAAAAGTCATGTTCACCAACACGGTGCTGCTGAACAAATCCCGAGTAATCAACGATGTCAGGGGAACTTCGTAAATATGTATGAGTTTTAATGTAAATCTTTGCATTTCTCAATCGGAGTTACTCAGGCATTTGATGAGCAGCTGAGAACTTAGGAAAACTCTTCAAGCTATCGTCTTCTTGGCCAAAGTGTTGCAAATATTAACGCAATAAATGTTGCAATTGTCATGCTGAATACACATTTTTAGCTAAAATGTGTATATACCCCTGGGATTATTCTGCATTCTGTAGTTAAAAATGTGTGTATGCCCTTGGGATTATTCTGTAATTCGAGTCCGCCCGTTAAATCAAGCAGTAAAATTAAATTTGTGTATGAATTACAGGCCTTATGCGGTTTATTTCTGTACTTTAGGGTTAGTCCCTTGGAAAATCTCTGTGGGCAGAGCACTTAGACCCTTCACGGGGGGTGACTCCCGATCGCAATCAATCGTGGTTGGTCAAACTTTCGCCAACCGAAACTTTTGCTCCTGCCCACTTTTGCCCACCCATCACACACACTGAGTTTAGCCAAGTGATTCATTAATGCAATTAGAAAAGTCCGGAATCCGTCGCTGAGTGGACAAACATTTAGCAACACTTCTCTTGCATGCAGCCAGGATTTGCGGAGCGAGTGCGAGACCACCTAATGCTAATTGAAATTTACGATTATGCTGCGAAAGTATTAAACAATATGACCGCCAGAGGAGCAAGGAATACAGTGGGAAAAGCAGCCGAGAGCCATAAGAAGGAATCAACAGGGAAGTTGGGCAGCCTGCTTGGACGCACACTGGCCAAAGTGGCCAAGGTGGTACGCACCAATCCCGCCCAGCACGTGACCAATCTGCCCGTTTCCGCCCTCCTGCTCCAGGCCCTCGACGTGGCGGACGTGGCCCGCGGCCAGGGAATCGATCTGCCCATCACCACCACCAGCAGCACCACCAGCAGCACCACCATCCCCGCCAGCAGCAGCAGCAGTGGCCCAACGGATGTGCTCAGCGGTCCGCCGGCAGCGTTCTCATTTCCCGCCAACGCCACTGGAGCAGCGGGAAGTGCGGGGTATGCGGATGCATACCTGCCCACGGCCAATCTTAGCGGTTTCATCGAATCCTCAACCACGGCGGCGATGAGCACACTGCCCATTCCGCTGCCAATCCCCACCAGCACCATGGCCACGCTCCAGGCCCAAACGGTGGCCACCTTCATCGCCGCCACCGGCAGCAAGAATCGCCCAACGACCATCGTTGTCTACCCAACGGGTGAGTCCTTAATTTAATCTCAATCTTAGAAAACATGCCACCTATTTGCAGTGAAAAATACTTCTTTTTGTTGTCGAAATTGTATAGGGAATTTGGTTTTTTATGTTTTTATCACCCAACAGGTGAGTTCATAAATTATGCAAAGAATTTTCATCAAGGGTCGGTAGTTAGGAACAGAAAAAAAACTTTTGTTGTGGGTAGATTTATCATACACCTCGAATACTGAGCGCACATATATTTTAATTACCAAAAGCAAATTACCAAAAAGTTGTAAAAAAAAAGAAAATATTACTTACGGCAACTTTGGCCATAAATAATAAAAGTAATTTGCGCAATTCACGACTTTTCTTAAATTTTACATCACCTTTAATGCCGATTTTGTGTTTCGCAGTGAGTTGAGCGTTTTATTGTCGAGCAACATGCACTTAAGGATGTAATTACTGTGCATTTGCCATGCATTTCATGAATTTTTGAGCAACTGAAATCAAAATAGCTGCCTCCTAAGACGCAACTGGCGAATTAAATTTGCATGGGCATGCTGAATCCTTGGGTTCAGCTTAAAGTGCTCAAAATTCAATTATTGAATCGGGTGGCGCGGTTTTATGAAGCGCTTTTAATCATGCTGGCCCGCTCTGCACAAATTAATAACCATCATTAAGATTATTGATTACTTTTTCAACATACTGCCTGTATGGACTGCCTCTGCAGGTTCTTGCTCTTCGGCTGCCACGTCGTTTTTAATCAAAAGTAGAGCCCGAGTGGGATTTGTCACCGTTTTGGGGCAACAATCAATTAGCATCGCGTCGCAAATGAAAGGACTCCTCGCACTGCCTTAAGTTAATTAGGAACATTTGCCGGATAAGGACTCGTGCTCCACTCTAGTAATCAAATCAAGCCAGTGCAGTCAGTCACCCATCGGGGTCGCGTGCCAGTCCTGGATCCATATCCACCAGTCCCGTCCTCATCCTCATCCTCATCCTTGCCTCCATCCGCATCCCAATTAGTCGCCCCGTTTGCCGGCGTTAATTTGCATGAGCTGACAACCGAGTCCTCATTATCCGCATTGACTCCGATTTCTTCTCCGGCTGGCGCGTCAACTTATATATTTTTTATAGTTTCTCGGTGGCTCGGCCAACTCTGCTTGGCTTTCAAACTGGCGCAGGCCAATACCAAAAGTTGGCCCCAAGTGTTTAAGTATGGACTAGGCTCCATTTCCATTCCCATTCCCATTTCCCCTGCCCCATTCAGCAATTAGACAAGTCTAAGTCGCAGTAATTGCAAAGAGTCGCACTCGAATTTAGCTGTTGATTGTGTCAGGCAAGTGTCGCCATCAGTTGAGTGGGTGGAAAAACAAAAAAAAAGTTGGGAAAACTGGGTGGAAAATTGCTGGGCTTCTCCAGCTGGCGCCAATGTCGCAGCGCCTCGAGCCACTCACAAATTAGAGTCCTAAAGGCTGCACGGAAAACAAATAACCGAGGGTTGTACGGAAAACACGAGGATTTTAAAATCACTGCCAGAGGTGTCTAAAAGTATGCAATAAAACGAGTGCATAGCGGATCCCAGGCATTTCCTTCAATTCGTTTATTCATCCAGTGTTGGCTTAGAAATCTCGAAGGATTTTCCGCTTGAATACATGGGAAAAGCTTTAAAGCATGGCTATATGTATACTGTCATTTATCCAAATTGCAGGAGTTTTCCAAAAGCATATTGGCTCTTTAAAATTAGCACTTTTAACTGAACGGAAATATAATTTGGATCTAATTAGAGGTAATGCCAAGTAAGCCCAAGTGGAGGCATTGCCAAACTTTACTCTACATTGCAGAAAATTGATTTAATTTTTTGTTGTGTGACGTAGGCTGGCGTCTTTATTAAGCGAGCGGCTCCTTCGTCACACTTCCAAGGCTTCTGTGCCGTCGAAACTTGTCGACAACATTGTCGACTTTCCTGCTCGCCCTATCGGACCCCAAAAAACCAGAGAACAACAAAAAAGGCCCAGACTTCAGCTCATCCCGCCCGTAGGCCCATCAGCATTCACATTTCCCCAATCCCCACTACAATCAGCGCACATCTCGGGCCATATCGACGATACGGGGCGTAGGGGGGCGCATACGTCCATGTCAGCGCCCTCCATGGCCTGTGGGCGTGGCGCCCGAGTTGCCGCCACCTTGTCAGTTCGACACCAAATACAACTTTTCGTCCATGCTGACAGCAATGGAATAAAAAAAAAAAAATAAAAAAAATTCGAAAAAAAAGAAAACAAAAAGTATCGCAGATGGAGAAAAAAAAAAGAAAAAAAAACTTGCCCATTACAATTTCCCCGACAACAACGAAGAAAAAGTGCGTAAACTCATCCGATAAAATGATATAACAGGAATGTGATGTCCTTCAGCTCCATTGATAAGTTAACAATGCATTCTACTTAGCGAAACACTCGAATGCCTGTTCGCTTTTTTCGACGGGGAGTTCTCGTTTTTCAGGAAGAGAAACTGACGGGGAAACTGGGGGAGGTTCTTTTCGCGAACAATACTTAAATATTCGATTTTTTCCCCCTTTTTAAACGTGCCACTGGTACAAGCACAATTTAATAGTCAGTGCCCGCTTGGCGAATTTAAACGAACGAAAAAGGCGTAATTTAATAAATTCCATACATATATATTGCGTTTAAAGTGTAGTAACGAACCACACCATAACAATTTCTTGTTTCCTGATGGAAAACAAATCCCTTTTGGTAATTTAATCATGCTAATGTTGTCAACAGCTTTCGACTGTTTGAAGCTGAGATGTTCGTTTTGGTCAAACCGAATGGGTTGTGTTGTGTGTAGAGAAAGCCTTCCGTAAAACCGCATTTTATTGGTTACCACGAATGCCCTGGCTTTTGGCCAGCATCCTGTCAACAAGAGGGCACCACCACTGACTTTGATTTGGGCGGGAATTTGGCCCCGATTTGCCGAGCTGTAGCTTCGTATCAAAGTGAAACTTTGGGGCTCTATTAAATGCAAACTATTCTCCGCAAATGCCTTGCGGACTTCAAAGTTGGCCCCCACATCCACCCACATCAACCCACATCTCCCCCGTTTCTCTCTTTCCCTTTCCCATTTTGCCCGTCTTGAGTTGAACCGCAATCAAGCTCGAGTTGACTTTGATGGGAATATATTCGAATTGGAGAAATCACTTTACGCTACTATATGGGTGTATGTGTACCCAGCATATCTGTCTGTGCGTCATGTCCATACACTCACAAAAAAAGCATATACTCGTACAGCGGACACCCGGTATTTTCAAAGGCTTTTTTATCATCATTTGGCCCAAAATGGTCGCAAAGCTGCATGGGTTGCTGTTTTGAACAACTAATTACCAAATCTAACCACCCCTGTCACTTTTTGAACGATTTAGAAAAATTAATTTTTGTGAAAATTTTCGCATTTTTTGTAAGGGGTAACATCATCAAAATTTGTAAAAAATGGCAAAAAAATACAATTTCAACTTTTGAATGCAGTTTGATTGGAAATTTAATTACGAGATCAACGAGGTATGATATTCCATTATTGGACAATTATTTCTAAAGTTGTGGACAATAAACTGATTATTTTATGACCGAAATGCGAAAAAACGGATTTTGGCAAAAATTGAAATATTTTAAATGGGCATTTTAGTCATATCTTGGCCAAAAATGATCATAAAGATGAAAGAAAACCTGTTTTGAGTAGCTTATTACCAAATCTAACCACCCCTATCACTTTTTGAACGATTTAGAAAAATTTATTTTTTGGCAAATTTTCGCATTTTTTGTAAGGGGTAACATCATCAAAATTTGCAAAAAATGGCAAAAAAATAATATTACAACTTTTGAATGCAGTTTGATTAGAAATTTAATTACGAGCTCAACGAGGTATGATATCCCAATATTGGACAATTATTTTAAAAGTTGTGGTAAAAAAACTGATTATTTTATGACCGAAATTAGAAAAAACGGATTTTGGCAAAAATTGAAATATTTTAAATGGGCATTTTAGTCATATCTTGGCCAAAAATGATCATAAAGATGAAAGAAAACTGTTTTGAGTAGCTTATTACCAAATCTAACCACTCCTATCACTTTTTGAACGATTTAGAAAAATTAATTTTTTGGCAAATTTTCGCATTTTTTGTAAGGGGTAACATCATCAAAATTTGCAAAAAATGGCAAAAAAATACAATTTCAACTTTTGAATGTAGTTTAATTGGAAATTTAATTACGAGCTCAACGAGGTATGATATTCCATTATTGGACAATTATTTTTAAAGTTGTGGCCAAAAAACTGAATATTTTATGACCGAAATTCGAAAAAACCGGATTTTGGCAAAAATTGAAATATTTTAAATGGGCATTTTAGTCATATCTTGGCCAAAAATGATCATAAAGATGAAAGAAAACTGTTTTGAGTAGCTTATTACCAAATCTAACCACTCCTATCACTTTTTGAACGATTTAGAAAAATTAATTTTTTGGCAAATTTTCGCATTTTTTGTAAGGGGTAACATCATCAAAATTTGCAAAAAATGGCAAAAAAATACAATTTCAACTTTTGAATGTAGTTTAATTGGAAATTTAATTACGAGCTCAACGAGGTATGATATTCCATTATTGGACAATTATTTTTAAAGTTGTGGCCAAAAAACTGAATATTTTATGACCGAAATTCGAAAAACCGGATTTTGGCAAAAATTGAAATATTTTAAATGGGCATTTTAGTCATATCTTGGCCAAAAATGATCATAAAGATGAAAGAAAACCTGTTTTGAGTAGCTTATTACCAAATCTAACCACTCCTATCACTTTTTAAACGATTTAGAAAAATTAATTTTTTGGCAAATTTTCGCATTTTTTGTAAGGGGTAACATCATCAAAATTTGCAAAAAATGGCAAAAAAATACAATTTCAACTTTTGAATGCAGTTTGATTGGAAATTTAATTACGAGCTCAACGAGGTATGATATTCCATTATTGGACAATTATTTTT